TTAGTGGAATATACAACTGTCATTATAAACTTTGGAAGTGTAAAACATTTGACTTCATGTTTAAATGTCTGTGCAAATTGTCACAGTTAATGTGGTGCGGAGGGCCACTGGGTTTCTTGTGCTTCGTTTTTGGAACTAGTGTTTGAAATTAGGAAAGAATTGCATGCGTTTGAAGCCAACGTTAACTCTTCCTTGCCAGATTTCTTCAGAGACGAGAAGGGCATGCCAAGTTGGCTTGCCTAGAGGTATGTCTAATGTTGTGGCATTTAATTTGTCATTGCAAGGGACTGACACAAACGCACTTTTTTTTTTTGCTCGATGAATTGAAACCATTTCACAAATTTAATATTGGGAAAACTTGTGTGGAAAATGGAATTTATTAAATATTTTCAGTTCTGTCAGAATAGCTACAGTGGACATCGAAAGTCGACACACCCTTATTGTAATGATGGAAAGGCTGAAATCAAAACAAATCACGCCAGACCTTTTTTTCACCTTTAATACTATCTGGTAACCAGAAATATTTAAGTGGAAAACAAATGGATCATTTTTAGGAACAAAATCTACTGTACAGTTTATAGCACTGACTCTAGGTTTGAAACCAAACATGACCTATTACCTGTTAATTCCCAGAATTGGATTTTGGGAGTAAACCCTGGATTTGCGTCTCATTTGCTGTGGATTTGGAAAAGTAGCTCACTGTGGATAGCAAAAAAAAGGAATAAGCTGATTGAGTTTTCATTTGATAGTTCATGGAAGGTGAGATTTAACTTATTTGCTGTCTGCATTTTCCTCGCAGTTTAAGTGCAAGTATCCAATGTTGTCAGACAAAACCTTAAAGTCTCTATACCATTTTGCATAAGCTTCCAGCGCAAGTGTTCCCTTCCAACATAATGGCAAACTATCAAGCAGTGCAATAAGCATTTTGTTGCAAATGATCTCTGACTGTGCCTCTCAGAAATTGCACCAAAGAGTGGAACAGCTGTGCAATTTGGCCCAATTTTATCCTTCTCGGATGCCAGCTTCGGAATTGAACAAAATGGGGGAAATGGTTTTTCTCTCATGTTTGAAAGCTTCTAGATTAGATGTTATTGCATTCCATGGTTCTGTGGCTTTATGTGTATATAAGTGCAGGGTGATTTTGTTTTAGAATTAGGGCAGACTAATAGAGATGTGCTTTTAAATTGAAAATAACATGAGGGCGGTGTTATGAGAGGAGCACACTGCATGTTGCTTCTGAAGTGTCTGCTGTGGGCCGCCAAAATAAGCACATTGTAGTTAGTGGGTTGCTTCCCCCAAAAAAAAGTCCCCCAGTTTGGGACTGGATTCCGTTGCAGCCATGTAACCCTTTCCCTTTTACATGTCTGAAAGGGAGTGTGCAGTATTGAGGTTATTCAGAGGAAGGTTTTGCAATGTGACGCAATGAGCCTTCAACAGGCAGGTTTGCTAATCTGGTTTCTGTTGCTTGGCCTCTTGTGCACAGAATAGTGGATGTTCATTTCATTTCAGTGAGATATGATAGCTACTATGTCTACCAGAATTAACATTCAGGAATAATGATCAGACATAGTGGTTTTCATGGCCGCTGAATTTATTTTCTTAAATGTCCTATGGTTTATTTTATTTATTCCTCTAAACCAGTAGTTCTTAGCCTGGGGTGCACACTCCCCATGGGGGGTGATATGCTCTTTCTCGGGGTGTGAGACATGCCAGATCTTTTTAAAATGTAAATCACGTCAAACGAAAATTAAGCACGGGCATGGAAGTACAGCTACTTTGTTTTACCAAACCTAGGTGTTTTAAGGTAAACTTAAAGTCTAATTGTTCATGTATTCTTAACAGCAAAATTAAAATGATTTGTAATCTCTTTCATTCTGTAGTACTGATATATCTGAGGTTTAAAGAACTGACCTATTTTAATGATTTCTGATAAGGGGCACAAGAACAGATTTTAAGAACCAAAGTGGGGCAGACTGCGGTGAAGATTGAGAGCTATTCCTCTGAACAATGGCATTCTGTGCAATATATTAAATATATCTATGTATACCTTCTATTTTTGTCTTGGCTTGTGTATTTCATTACTGTTGCTGTGGAAAAACAGCAAGCCCCACACTTAGGTTAAATTCACAATGTTTTTGTGACTTCCACAATAAAGAGAATCTAAGTGATTAACCAACAATTCTTCAATGAATTCTAGTTTGTGTGTCATTATGCCTGTGATAGACTGGCGTCCCACCCAGGGTGTATTCTGCCTCATGCCCGTTTCGTGTTGGGATAGGCCTCACTTTCCTGCTGCCCTGTATTGGTTAAAGTGGTTCAAAAATGAATGGAGGTCCTTGGGCAAATTCTTACACAAAATATAGGGAGACTTTACAATGGGATTATAAAAGATCAACGTTTAAAAACTCTAGTTAAAAATGCAATGCATCAAAAACACTTTTAACAGCATTTAACAGGGTTTATGTGAATATTCTTTATTTTTTCCCCCACTCACTGTTGGTGGGGTTCAGCTCTTTTGTTTTCCCATGAAGTTATTTTCATTCTCCAGACGAGATCGGCCCGATTTTTGATTGACTGGGGCAATTGCCTGATGTCTATTTTCTTCTTCACGTCGGTTGCTGTCACTTTCTAGGAAGTATTATGCTGTTGAAATAAATGTCTTGACCCCTCTTCTCTTGCTATTATGAAATCATTCCTTTCTTAATCTGATAGTGAATAATGTGTTCAAGTGCCTCACACTGCATGCAGACCTGCTAGTGGAAGTGTGCTCCGAAACTTCTTCTGTCTTCAAGCAGTAGCATAAATCTTGGAATGTATTTTTAAATTGAATATGCATTGTGATTTTAATCTGCAAAGACTAAGTAATCCTCATCAAATCTCTTTGTGGTACATTACATTTTGTATTTTAAAGTTTAGTAAGATTAAGCTTTTCAAGGCTAGTGATTGTTGTGATAGTGTATCTTGGAATACTGTATGTAATGGATATGCACTGGATATGTGTCCAGGCTCAGCAGTGGAGGTGGAATGAGAGAACAGTCAACTGTGCGCACAACTGTTCCTTCTTTACTGAATACCATATAAAAGTGCCTTAACCAATTGAACTGATTGAATTCCATTGGGGTAATTTTCATGAATTTTGGAGAAATAGTCCAAAACCTTCTTTTAGAACTGTTATGACCTCATGGCCCGTTGCGGGAGGCTCCTTGTAGGCGTCATCTGTGTCAGAGGAGGATTTAAAAATACTAAGAACAGGGGGTGTGAACAAACGTCACCCTTGTGTTTTTTTTAAATGAAAAATGAGACCTTTGCTCTGTGATCAAAATAAGATTACAGTAAATGTTTTGAAGTCTGTCAAGCACATAGGTTTTTCTGTTATGTGCTATTTTTATCCTGTTCTGTGGGTGGAATGAATAAGTGTAGAATGCACACTATTAACCTAGAGAGCCTACCTCTCCCCATTAAAACTTGGGAACATGCAGCGTATTAATGTCATCCTGTGAAAAGATACTTTTGTTTGTAGACAACAAGGTGAGGTCATTATGACCTTGTTATTGTAGAACCCATTACTTTTCAATAAATTAAGTGAAGTTCAGCATTTTAGCGGCAGGTGTAGATATCTAACACGTTATTTCTAAAAACCTTTTTACCTAGAATGAACAGCTTGCATTCTTCATTGTCATTTTATTGCCCCAAATGCAAGCCCTTGAACTCAAGAATTTGAGTTCAGTGAGTTATTTATGTATGAGAATGTTTGTTTGTCATTAAGTTCTGTAATGTTTTAAAGTAGTCTATTAATTTGTTTTTAGGTACAGTGGAATTCTAAGTCTTGGTCTTAGTTGTATTTTATTTACTGCACTTGAACTTTCAACATACTATTTCCCCTGTGGTGTACATCATGAGGTTTATTGTGCCTTGACTGGAAACAGCGCAGTTTAAGGGAAATGGCACTTGTAACCCGGACAGCTGCACTCATCTCATTCAGTCAGTACCAGCTCACTGCTACAGCACAAAAAACTATGAGGTCTTTGTTTTTTCATTATATATTTGTACATCCAAAACATTGTATCCCATAAAAGAAAGACTCAACTGTGAGAGCGAAATGTGAATGTTTAATGGCAATAAAAAAAGTAATAGAATTCCTTTGTCCTGTACTCAGCTTTAACAGCTCATACAGGAACTGAAAAGTATAATTCAGTCAGTCTCTGAAGAATCGGTATACTTTCAACAAACCTTAATGGCACAATTTTGTTTACTAGCTTATTGGCTGATTTCTATAGCAGCTAGCTTGTAGGTTCAGGTGCTTTGAATTCCAGTTTTTATAGAGATTATCAAAACTGGACAGTATCCTGTTATTGTGAGATAAGAGGATTTGGAATTGCAGTGAAAATAAATGGAAGAATCTAATTGTCGTCTATCTGATCTGCCTGTAAAAGCATGTAACTTAAACCCGGGTGTGCCTTATTTTTAATCGGACTGTGGAGCCTGATGGTTTAACACTGCTAATGTGCTCAACGCTTTTGCGTTCATTCCTCCCATTCAAGTCGGCACCCTCGACATGTATTAATAGGATCCATGAAAAATGACATTTTCAGCTGTCCTAATTTTCTTAAGTTGCTTTAGATCAGGACATTCGGCAGGAATTGCTATAATTGCTGTCAGCCCTAAAACGGATGTTTGTTAGAACTAAAATAAACTTGTTTCTCTAGATCTTGTTTCTTAGGTTGCCCAAACAGTACACGCGGGCTTTTAATAGTCTCAGGCTGGTTAAGCTATCGTTCTTTGAATGCTATGCATCCCAATGCCTAGTGACTGTTATCGGCGATAATAAGAGATGGCATAGCTGGAAAAAAACGTGCTACTGGGGAGGGGGGGATTCTTGTCTCGGACATCCTCTTCCTCTGCTTATGAAACTTATGAAATGTTTCTGCCTCCCCCTTCCCCAATCTTACGCGTGATCTTCATTGTGCAATGTAATGCAGTTCTGAAATTCCCTTTTTTTTTTTAAACTGAATGCAAGAATACAAATCGCCTCAGAATTGGTGACCATTCCGGGGCCTGTTTCTGCGGCCAGAACAGCTCCCCTGCTTGTGGTCCGAAGGGGCCCGTCGTGAGCATCAGCGATTGAGCTGTACGAGGGTCCGGTGCCAGGAGCTGCGAGAACTGCCGGCGATAAAATGGGGTTCCAAGGACGTGCCGTGGATTTGTTCTCCTGAGAGTGGAAGACGAGTGTACAGATCCCTGCGAGGTCTGGCAGCCACCTCCAGCTGGACACTTCAGTCAAACGGGACAGCTTGAGCAGTTTGTGACAGAAGGAAATTGGTCAAGGAGGGGGTGTGCAGTGGGGGATCCAGACAGAGCCAGTACCCGCTGTAATTTTGGCATTCTGCTGCATCCCAAGAGTCAGCTGGATCTTATATCAGAGAGCTCGAAAACAACAGGTTTGTTTCTTTACATAACCTTCTGTGTGCGCTGTGGAATGCAGGCTGGAAAGGGCAGTTCCACACGCCCCAATAACCCCCCCTCAACTACCACCACACGTCTCCCTAGTGACTTTTCAGGATAGGGTTTTCTGATTTTAGCCAACTTGTCTTCGATGTATGGAACAACAGGCTCCAGCCAAACGGGCAGGCAGAATATCCCGGAATTAAAAAGGCACAGTTGCTGCTTGGAGTTAAGTGGCTGAAGCTTTGATAAGAGAAGCAGAAGCTCGGCTGTGGTGCAGATACCACCGATTGCACAGCCGTGTTTACTGGAAACGCTCGGCGTGTCCTGCCTTTTGGAGGGCTTAATGAAGTCGGACATTATGAGGATGAAGGACATTTCACTACGGCAAGACCCAGACCTCCGAAAGGAATTGGCATTGTTGGCGCGGGGGTGTGATTTTGTCCTGCCCTCCCGATTTAAGAAGAGACTGAAAGCTTTCCAGCAAGTACAGGCAGGTTGTCTTAATTTTGTTCTATTCGGGGGACTCGTGGCGGAGCTTGAAGTCCATAATTTTAGGGAGTCCTCTATGGACTGATGGAGTCTGGTTTTGTTTTCCAACTTTCAGTCTTTGCTTGGCTTTCAGTCAGTGTTTCAGTCTTTTGTGTACCTTAAATATGGGATAAATTCAATTAAGTAAGACTCTCCTTACATGTCACCCTGTGACGTAAATTAAAGAGCTTCTTCAGGTTTCCTTCTGCAGAAACGTTGTAAAGAATGACCGTAAATCGGGGTTAAAAAAGAACAGTGATTAATCCCCTTTTATAGACGTCGGGCCAGTGAGGACATGAAGTATTTGCTATTTGCTTTCTTGTTCAATCATTCATTGATTGAAATTATTTAATCTCGTTGATTGCAATTAATGACAGAACAAGTGTCATTCTGAGGCGTGATACTAGAGTGAAGTTTCCTCAATTTAATTTTTTTTATCTTGCTAAATGTACTTTTTACAGTTTTTATGCAATCTGTCATAATCTAAATATTTACTTAAAAAGAGTTTATTTCACATTTGTATACTTTTAAACTATTGCATTAAAGTTGTAGGAAAGAAGTTGTAGTATTTTTTGTTTTGCTAGTAGTTTTGAACCAAGACTAAAAATTTGTTTGCATGTGACTAGCATGCTTTGGTCACACACCAGAGCTTTACTAATGGCTTCTGGTTGCTAACCTAGTCATGGGTGTCCAGTGCACAAACATGCTTTCTGTGTTCTTCCGTTGTGGTAGAGGTCTGTGTGGGAAGTAATCGGTATGTCAAAACAATGCAGCACCCTTGTTTCTCTGTCTCAGAGTGGACCTCCAGTAGTAGCAGTGAAAACAGCCCCATGTATGCTCATTAAAGATAGTGTTGAACAAAATAAAAATGTGCGCCACTGGAAATCCACAACAAAATGTTGTTGATTATTTTCCATTCGTTTTAACTTACTGGAACAGTTCACTTTTGGGGAAAGTCATCACAGCTATATCTTGAGATTTCTCAAGTGAGATTCTTAGTGCTAGAACTCAGAAATTGATGTGGTTGTTTTTGTGCAAACATTTTCACAATTACATTGTTTAAGAAGACCAAATGTGGCCATTAGAATGTAGTTCTAACCTCAGCACACGTACACAAGCAACACACCAGTGATTAATTTAACTGACTTATTTTTATTTAATATCAAAGAGAGTCATTTCATAACTGTGCACTGTAACTGGTAATACAAAAGTTTGGGTTTCTAAACTGTGACTTTATATTTAATGCCATTAACACCATACAGTCTTCATGAAACGCTGAGAAATTTTCATATTGTTTCACATGTCTCATTTATTTGCAGACTTAAATGTTAAGGAAGTATTTGTGATGTTAAGGTGGCTTTCATTTCACAGAAGATAGTGAAGTTTAAAAATGCAAACAAAGATGAATGTGGTTCATCATATTTTAAAGCCCCAGCAAATAGATTTTTAAAAAAAGGAAATACATTATATGAAATCAAATTTTCAGTAACTGTTGACATAGACAACAGTTACTATTGTATTGATTGTATTGATAAGATTGTCTGTGAGACAGTCACTTGCTGTTTAGGAGCTATCAACTAGGGGTTGGCAATATGCTGACCAAAAGTTTTATATACGTTTGCCATCAGTATGAAATTTATATATCACAACTGACAGCACCGATTGAAGTGTTTTTTGTACCCGTATACAATTGTGACAGGATTGGTCATGCAAAGGATGACAGGAATTTTACACTTGGCTGGCAGTGTCATCTGAAAATGACAGATATACTGTATCTGTATCTGTTTATTAAACAGACTTTATCCCATTATGAAATAAAAGCAGATGAGAGTTTGATTGCATAAACAAACTGGCTAACATTTTGAGCAAAGAAATTGTGCCAAACGTTTTTCACTGAATGCTGTTTCATAGCCTTGCAGTAGACATTTTCTTACATTACAGCTATGAGCAATCTTTTTTTAGCGCGATTTCAAAAAGTGCTTTGTTAATTTAGAACAGCAGGAATGTTGGGTACTTGGATGCTGATGGAGAACGTCTGAGACTACTAGACAGATACGTTGCTAATATAAAAGATTCCAGTCCACACGTATTTAGCTCTGCAGCCCTGAAGATGTTTGAGACTCTTCCTGTGGTCATGCAGATTAATTGCACATCCCGGGCCCCGACCCAAGGCACACAGCAGATCTCATGTGAGTCTTTAGAGTGAAGTACAGGGTTGGCAAACAATTTGTGCATGGAGTTAAATCGGAATTGATGTACTGTGCAGAGTGACAGACTAAAGTATAGCTCAGTATTTTTGGCTGGTTCTGCTATTGGCTGTTTCATAGATCAGCATTCGCAAATCATTTGTATGTCAAGTTCATCTGAACAAGGAGGAAAATAAATACTGACAATGAGACTCTCTGTGATGTCCACTCTTCTCTCATTTGAATACAGCTATTACATAATTCTGCTTCACTTCCAGTGCTGCAGATGTTCCCAATCTGTACATGTATAACAGCAGTTACAAATGAGAGGTGGTCTTTTAACCCATCTAGCTCTTTTGTTATTTGCTACTGAACTGCTCTGAGGATCTCTTCCGGCCAAAATATCAGCTTCAACAACAGGGCTGGGTAGCTTGTTGCGTGCTCCACAATCCTTTTGGGAAAAGAAGTGCCTCCTGTTCCCAAATAATGCACATTACCTATAATTTTCTTTGTCATATTTAAACTTGGCATATAATTTACTGTTATCAATGATATCATAATGGTGTATGATGTTGGTCATACCTTTAATGTACAATGCACATTTTTAAGCATGGACTGAATTTTTCCATTTAAGACTGTAAAGAACATGATATTTTGTTTGTGTGAGTGAGATGTTAAATATGAGTGATTTGCAATATAGTTTAGGGTTACGCTCTAGAAGACTTTGTAAAATTGACCTGAAGAGCACAACATCCCTGATTCATTTTGCGTGATCTCCTCTGCCTTTATCACATGACAGAAGCCATTAAAACCTTAATGCCAGGTTTCTTCTCAAACCCTGGTTGAAACATCAGATGATCAGGGTTTGAGAAGTACTTCGTTGTAGTTGTTGTAGTACATCACATTGGCTACAAGGGAGAGGAGGCTGTTTGGCCCATCACGCTCATTTGATTCTGCTTTAATCGCACAGGTACTAGACTAAAAGGCAATGACCACTACCCCCTGTAAGGAAAGGGACAGTTCAGAATAGCCAGCCAAGCCAAACCAAATTGGTTTCAGGATGTTGGAGGAGGCTTGGACATGTGGCATGCCCAGGGTCACACAAACTCCTCACAGAGAGGCACCCAAAGCCAGACTCACATCCTGGACTGTGGTGTTGTGGCAAAATGGTCTGCTAATAAGATCTTATATAACTGCGATTACCAAGGATTTAATCCTCTGTTCTGCTCATAAATAAAATGAATAAAGTCCTGCAAAACGGAGAACCAGTGTTCGTATCTTACTTTAAGTTTTGATGAAAACGCATCATTTATTTTGTATTGGGGGAAGAGAGTAAGTTGTGGCTGTGGAATTTAAATTTAAGTCTTATCAACAGTAGCGATACTAAAATGAGTGTTTGGCAGCTGACGTTTTTAAATCCATGATTAAATGTTACATTTCATCTGTAAATCTGGAACTTGTATACCTCCATCTTAAATTTGCTGACACCATTATGATATCATTGATAACAGTAAATTATATGCCAAGTTTAAATATGACAAAGAAAATTATAGGTAATGTGCATTATTTGGGAACAGGAGGCACTTCTTTTCCCAAAAGGATTGTGGAGCACGCAACAAGCTACCCAGCCCTGTTGTTGAAGCTGATAGTTTGGCCGGAAGAGATCCTCAGAGCAGTTCAGTAGCAAATAACAAAAGAGCTAGATGGGTATTCAATTTCCTGATAATTTCAACAAAAAGGTGTACTTTCAGTAAGCTTCATTCTGCTAAGCGTACATTCCTACATTTTCGAAACCTTTTTTCGTCTATAAGATTCCCAAGCTCAAGTGCCGTTTCCAGCTAAGAGTAGCTTAGGAATCGGAAGCAATATAAAATGATCGTTTGCTCCATGATTGGAATTTTCAGAAGGTCTATTTTGGCTTTGATGGCAAATGTAGGCTCATATTGAAAATACAGCATTGCATTTCTGAGACACCGTATTTGCTTCAATCTGTATTCCGGTTCCATTTCAGCCACTAGCAATCTCCTAGTAGACGTTTTTCCTTTATGCATAAGTAAACAAAGACATTCATTTAACTCAAAACAGGAAATAAGGTTTCCAGTAATGAGGCTATAAAGGAGCAACCATAATTTTAAGCGTTTGTGTTTAAATAATGTAAACAGGATAGACACATCTTGACTGTTCATATATATTTTTTTTTATTTGCAGGCTCAGGTAAAGAAAGATGAACCCATAACACCAGCCTTAAGTGAGAACATTCCAAGGTTTTATTTCCCACGAGGACGGCCCAAAGCCAATCCCAACATCGACTCGCTCATTTCCAGAATAGAGAGAACGTTTTCACAGTTCCCCAATGAAAGGGCAACTATTGAAGACATGGGGAAGGTAGCCAAAGTGAGTATGATTTACCACATCTGTTCTCTTGCCACCCAACCAGCACAGCCATCTACCGTGTAATTAAGCTTATGGATTTTATGAGAAAGGAATCTGTATCCTAGCTTCCCAAGGTAGGTTTGGAGTGACATGTATACGGCTCTTGTCATACTTGTCGTATTCCAAAGAAAAAAGGATTATTGCATTTCCTGCAGGAAGGCTTAATTGCGCACTGAACAAACACTTCCATATAGACATGGAAGACATGTATATAGACATGTTTTCTTTGTAAAATTAGAGGTACAGTTTATTCAAATTAAAAACCTAAAAATAAACATCCTGTGTTGCACAACAATACAAGTTTAAAAACAGTCTATAAATGAAGCACAGAAGCCAAATGCTGAGAACCTGAATTTGCCAGTTAGAACCTTCATTATTATTATTATTATTATTATTATTATTATTATTATTATTATTATTGTTGTTGTTGTTGTTGTTGTTGTTGTTGTTGTTGTTATTGAATCTTAATTAAGCTCACTGTCTCTTCTAAGTGTATAATAAGCTTTCAGCTCAGTCTGTTTACCAAAACATCAAATTAGTGCTCCCTTCACAGGCAGCAGCTCACTCATGTGTTAACTGGCAAACTGGACATTATCCTCCATGGAGCTTCCAGGCATTTAAACATTCATTTTGGCAACTTTTTTATTTAGTTGGTTCCCAAAAGTACAGTGCGTTTAAGCAGGCATTTCAGAGCATAATATACTTTCTCACAATATTTCAAAGGATGTGATTTATTTTCTTTTATATGACGTTTACAGTTTCCAGAAAACAGTTTGGACTGCAATTACCACTCACACCAAATTTTAAGAGAAGAGGCCATTTGGCCAGTCCCATTTGGTCAAGAGCTAATTAATCCAAAGATCTCACCCAATTGTTTCTTGAGAGACACCCAAGTATTGACTTCAAAAACATGTTTAGCCATACTGTACCACATTGTTCCATACTCCCACAACCCTTTGTGTGCAGACGTGCCCCCTGTTTTTGTTTCTAAATGTAATTTCACAAAGTCTCCACTTGTGTCTCTAGTTTGCATTTCACAGTGACTTTGTCAATGACTTTGATGTTAATGTCTAGGTGATACATTTTAGCAACTTAACACGTTTTTGATGCTCAGCAGCCAACAAAAAGACAAGTACATTGTGTTGCCATTGTAGGTTTTCTTTTGAAATATTAAAGCTGCATGCATTTCAGAGAGATCCTGTTTGTTTGCTTGATCGCAGGTAAAGGGTAAGTTAATCACAAATTGTTATCTTGGCCTTTTTGTAGTTTGTCTAGTAGCTACAGAGAAACCGCTTTTACCTTGGTCACTTTGAAAGCTCTTTGATATTTGTTCTCAGCATTCAAAATGCACTAGTAAACACTTGAATAAAGTGCATGCTAGGTGGAATGTGTATGTCCAAAAGTTTATATGCTTTTCATTAGAGATATTTAACACTGTGCACTTTTCCACAGGCTAATATTTGAAAATATTTCAAAATATAAAGATTTAAGGTGAAATACTACACCAAAGTTAGACAGCCCATCCAGGGAACTTTATGTATGTAACTGTATAAGACTATATAAGATGGAAGAATTGAAAATGATTTTAAAAGCCTTAAATCCTTGAACTTATCCCAGTTCTTGTTAAAGTATTTTTTTGTCTTCCCAGGCTTGTGAATGTCCACTCTACTGGAAAATGCCATTGTTCTGTGCTGCTGGTGGGGACAGAACAGGATTCGTATCCGTTCACAAATTTGTTGCAATGTGGAGAAAGTAAGACTATGGTACCTTGCCTGTGAGATAGACTGTCTATATTATTTTACAACAACTATAAAATTACATATGCTAATGCTTCATTATAAAATTAACATATTGTTTTTCAAATTGTATTAGTTAGAAGATACTATATATGTATATAGATAGCTAACAAACACATACCAATCAAAAGAAAAAAAAACAGAATAAAAATAAATGGTTTCCTTCTCAGGGTGGTGTGAAAATAAACATGCAGTTTTGTTCATTTGTGAAACAAGTTTTAAATGCTGGTATTCCTTCATCAAGGAGAAGCCATTTACTCATTTATTGTTTTTCAGAACCTTACAGACCTGCCATGATGACGCATCTAAATTTGTTCACCTTTTGGCCAAGCCGAGCTGTAATTACATTGAACAAGAAGACTTGATTCCATTCCTTCAGGTGTTGTTGTGTTCTGAATATTTTGCTGCAAAACACACGTAATGTCCAAATATAGTGATTGGCACATGATTATCCTGAGAAAGGAAAGTAGGATGAAACTTCACAGTCTACCACAAAACCATTTAGAACGTGAAACAGATCAAAAGCGACTGACTTTATTAAATAAATAGCAGAACAATGCATTTTTACAGCCCCAGTCTCGAATTCATTTTTATGTTTGCTTTTCACTTTAAGTTTTGGGTGCCTTGTTGTAGGTCACATGCTCCAATCAGGGATAAATGTCATCTAAAAAATATATTTCAACATGTTTTCTACACAAACTACTTTGAAAGATTCCCATAAAACATAGTAAGTTAATTGTAATTTGCACAATCGTTCATTTGTGGAGAAGACTCAATGTAATTTCTTTCAGGTCTGTTTTCCCCTTTCGGAACGTGTCGATAAAATATTTTTGTGAACAAGACCAAGTTGCATACTTGAGGGCAAAGAGGGGTTATGGTGAACAAAATCTGTCACATGATTTATGTTTAATCGTTATGATTAAATTGAAACAATAGAATGTAATTTGACATTGTGAGTTCTCGATGCATGTTTACTGTGGTCAGTATACGCTGCGTTTGCCTTTTCACTTAGCAGCTCCTGTTAAGCCAAGAGAGTTGCAATTTGTATTCAAGGCAGCAGAATCGCCCAAGCTTGGGGTGTTTGAGTTTAGTGAAGAGATGCATTTTGGCATCCTGTATTTAATTTGTATTGTGTGGTTTTGGCAATTGATCTGACTGTTTTGATGAATGAAATAAGTATTGCTTTGGAGTAGATTTGACTTCCCCTGTGGACTCATAAGGAGAGTGATTTATGTATTTTTCTATTATTTAATTTCACAAGGGAAGGGTCAAGGAGCATTGTGTTCATCTGCAGATAAAACTGTTTAATTTTATTTCCACATATGCAAGCACATGGAAATTTGACTTGAAAAAAAATCTGTGGCTTGACTCTCATTACCCCTCCATATTAAAAAAAATTGTCTGCCACATAAAAGGTTTCCTTTAGAAATGATGCATGAAAAATAGGTTCCTCCTGACACAATTTGCAGTAGTCACACTCTTTAGGCCCTTTAGGAGATCTGATTTACCTAGTAGTCTTAATTTATTTCAAACCTGGATTCCTTAATCTTATCCAAGTAACTCATTTCAGTTGAGAGACTAATGTAGTCTCCCTTATAAAGACTTCTTTCAGTACAGCAGTGACTTTATTTTTACATTGTAGACTGTTTATGGGCTGTTCTAGTTGGCATCCTGCATATGGTGAATATAAAAAAACATCTCTTCCATATGTTTCAGGATCTCATCTAATACAAGAACAAGAGCAATAAAATATTCTTGTTTTTCAGGACGTGGTCAACACACACACTGGTCTCACATTTCTAAGGGAGGCCTCAGACTTTCACTCTCGCTACATTACCACAGTAAGTTGAGTTCTTTGTGGCTGTATCAGCTATGGTCTGGAACTAATTTAAAGACACTGAAGTCCAACCCTTTCCTTAATACCAAGGATACTTTTTTTGCCTTACAGTTCCCTTACCCTTCCAGGTTTTATTGTAGTCTAATCACAGGGTCACTATATTTACATTTTTGTTTTCCTTGTTTCTTCCTCCTTTATCATTTTAGGCACGGAAATTAAATGTTGACTGTAATTATCCTTGTACTAGTTCATGAGGTTTAGCTCTCACCTTATTGAGGTTTTCTCTCAAAGGAGAGGAGTGCAAGTGATTTGTAAGTTATTGATACACTGTCTTTCCAAATTTTGTTTGGAACTGATCATAAATTAGGTGCTGTGTAGTCACGGTTGAAATGGCAAAATCTCAGATGCAAGTGGGTGAGACACTGAATAACCTGCTGCATGCTGGATGTGTTGAAAACAGCGTTTTGAAATAGGGTATTGTCATACAGTTTATTCAGAGACCAAGGTCTGAACATTAAAAACAGCTCAACAAGCAAGCAGATCAATAAACGTCATAAATAACCATGAGTGATTTAAGAGGTAATCTAGACTGAAAACCGACAGACTCGGGGGTCCCCCAGCACCAGGATGGGGAATCGGTGGTGTAGGTTGTAGGTTGTAGGTCTTTTTAAGGTGGGAAGTTTTTACTTTTATTGTCTCAAGGCAGCAATACAAAAGTCAACTTGACAAAAAAAATCTGTTTCATATCTCAAAATATTTCTTCCCTCTAGTTTAAAAAAGTAGAAATGGTCATTTAAAGGGGTTAATTTATTATATACTGAGTAATATTAGTTGGTGCTTCGTGTTAAAGTAACAAAATGCTTCTTGATTTACCTTACCACTTTTTTCTTAGTAGTCTTTTATTCCCCCAAGAATGAAGAGGGCGAGTACAGAAATACAAATTTCTGGTTGCTCTGTGTGTCACAATGGATGAATTACAGCAACTTCCTGTGACTACACAAACACTGAGCTGAAGCAGGCAGCTGATCTTTCAGCTGCTCTAATGGCTTCTCTGTAATTAGTTTAGTGATCCGAAGGCACAGTAACTGAAGGACCTCAACTTGTATTACTAACTCAAGCTTTTTAACTGGCCACTGGTATGCCAGAGTGAAAGTATTGATTAATTATATTTTAGTTTTGGCCTTTTAGTCCGCTACAGATTTTGAAGGCAGTATGTTGATTTAGAAGCTGTACAAATGCCGACTGTTTAGCACGACCCTATCAGTTGTTTTTCTCCTTTCCACCGAGTTGGGAATACAAGTACAGCACCAGAAGACTGAGAAACAGAAACTGGGACCTTTCATTCACAGTATCACTGTATCTTATTAATGAGTGTGTTCATGATTATTACATGAAGTTGGATGTTTCATGAGTATATTAAGGATGATTTTTGTCAGTTATTATTTGGTGTTGTAATGGTTATCTTCTGTGTTTCTATTATTAATATTACTTCAGTTGCATCAATGGTCATTGGTTTGTCCGGAATGTTTTTCGGAAAACCCCTTTTGTAGATCGTTTGTGCTGGTAAACAGAGCAGATCCAGGTTCTGGTTCCGTTCTTGTCCAATTCAGGATGGCATACTTTGGATTCTGCTCCACGGGGGCAACTCCACAGGAAATGGCTATTCTTTAAAGCACCAGCAGATAAGCTCACCCCTGGTGGAAAATAGCTGGGAGCATGCGACGTGCTGCGTGCCCTTTTGCACGAGCTCTCCCAAGTCGCACGTGCGTACAGATGGGCGCGCACCAGCGGGGGTTGGGTTTCACCTTCAAATTCCCACTTACAAGCAACCAGGACAAGAGTGTCCTTATTTTAGAAGCATTTGCAGTGTTCCTGTTGGAAACAAGTGCTGCCTGTATTGATATCCAGTGCCTTGCAAATGCATTGAGCCCATTCCAGTGATGTCACATTTTGCTGATGATGTACACACATTTTAAAGTAAATATTTTAATCACGACTAGATTTTTGATTACATTTCATTTTGATGACATTTACCTTCCCATAAAAGTGTTCCGTGTGATGTAAGCATATCTGGTTTTTAAAACTGATGAATTTAAGTCGGTCTTTAATGACCTGTCCTTCCTGCGCAGTAGAAGAGGCTCTGGCCTCTTAAGAGTTCTTGGAAGTAGGAGAGACTTGTTCAGGTTTGTGAGTGTCTAGCGAAGTGCAGCTTACATGTCAAACTTGCAAGTGTGTTATCAAAAATGTTTTGTCACTCTATAAGGTTTTTATCACTTGCATTTACTTCTAAGTATTTTTTAATAAAGTTATTTTAATGTGTACACAGTTTTCTTTCACTTCTGGCTGGGGCAAAACTGCAGCGTTTCTTGAATGAAGAAATATGTATTATAAATCACTCTTACACTTAATAGGGTGTTTAGTATATATAATATTTATACTTTAGAATATATGTGCTTGTATAATCCAGTAAGAAAAAATGAACTTAACATTAATATAAAGCTGACTTGGCTCAATCGGAACTTGATCAATAGTACATAGACTAGTCAAGTTTTTTATCTTAATCACAGCTTGAAAACTCTTCCTATTGCATTTCTTTCAGGTTATTCAGCGGATATATTACAATGTAAACAGATCATGGACGGGCAAAATAACATGCTCAGAACTTAGGAAAAGCAGTTTTCTGCAGGTTAGTAACATTTTTGTATGTTAGGTAGGTAAAACTTAAGAAACTAAGCTTTGGGGCTTAAAGTCTTATGATATATGTACAGTTTGCAAGCCTCCAGAGCAAAACAACACTCGGGAGTGTACAATTGTCCAATACGTTTTTTACAATGTGAAAAGTTGTAACAGCAGCTAGACCTAGGTAGAAATGATAAAACTATAATTATGGATGGTGAATTTGTTGGAGCAATACATTATAAACTATAACAGAGGGTAATTCTAAACGTTTCATGATAACATTTTAATTTATTTTGTGTTTAGATTTTAAAATGAATAAAATGTAAAATGAATGCGCTAATGAATGTTCTTTTCAAATGTCCGTTATAAGATCACTTTATTAGCCATATACAAATTCTTGCATTAGGAATTTGTCTTTTTCGGATACCCTAACTTGCTCTCCATGAGACACACAGACAGGGAGAGAAGCTTGGGGTCAGAGCGCAGGGTCAGCCATTTATACAGCACCCCTGGAGCAGTTGAGGTTAAGGGCCTTGCTCAGGGGCCCAACAGAGAAGGATTCCTCTGTGAGCCGTGGGATGCGACCTGGCAACTTTCCAGCCACAGGCACAGATCCCTAGCCACAGAGCCACCACACCGCCCACATTTTTTATGTTAAAAGGTTCATACAGTGCCACAGGAATTGAAGGCCATTAGCAAAATCAAGTTGTTGGTGCTGCTGCTGCAAAAATGTTCCTGTTGAACAGTAGTCATGCATGTATATTTGATCATGCAGTACAGTATTTGTAATAGCACTGTTCCCTAAGAAAAGGAGGGAACAAAAGCAAAAAAACGAAGTCAAATAGAGGGAAAGGCAGGAGTCACATTTTTAAAAGCCTGTATTAAAGCCAAAATCAAATGGACCCCACATATACAGGTACTGTGGCAATGTGTCGGTGAGTTTCTGCACTAACAGCACTGTGTGATGACAGAGACATGCTCACAGTTGTCCAAGGTGTAATGTGTGCATTTATTTTATGGATGTATTGTCGACTGTATGAAGGGTGTTTGCAGTCAGCGGTGGGCTACAGGTGTGATGATTGATATGATGTAGTTTGGGGGGTTTTACATGGTGGGTAGCACATGCTTTTTGCTGGAAGATATTTTTGAACGTATTCCTGGTGGTTTGTCAACAGAATGTGGCATTATTAGAGGATGAGGAAGATGTCAACCAGCTCACTGAGTATTTCTCCTATGAACATTTCTACGTCATTTATTGTAAATTCTGGGAACTTGACGCAGACCACGATCTCTACATTGATCAGAAAGACCTAGCTCGACACAATGATCACGGTATTGTTTTATTTCTTCTTGATACCAAATGTGTAACCCGGCAGAATAATCATAATAGAATATCCACCTCCTTTAATGTAAAATTTTCAGCAATGTTTCTTACAGGCTTCTTTGTCAGAGGTGTTTCATTAACACTTGCTGTTGCAGTCATTCTGTACATTTTGCTATGGGTAGCTGAATTTTTCATGTTGTGTTCCTTTATGAAAAGAGGGGAAATGAAAGATTTACAAGACCTCAAAACTGTATTAATTAGTAATACTAAATCGCATTTAATCATATTGTTTTCAGGCTTTACATAAGTGTCACAGAGCTTTTTCTATTGAATGGCTTAAATCACCAAATTGGTATAGAATGGACAGTGAAATACAAAGAAGAGGACAAAAGTGAAAACTACATGGTAGAGCTTTTAAAACTGACAATAGGAGGCACTTCTTTACCTGAAGTGTTGTGGGTGTTTGAACAAGCTTCTTTCAGGAAAAGACAGGATGAGATCCTTGACTCAGTAGTAACTATCAGATAGAATAGATGGGCTGAATGGCCTCCTCTGTAACTATTGTATGGTATTACTTTGAATACACATTCAAATAAATAAACCTTAGTGCAAGGACATTATCATCCTCTTTTCTTATGCCTTATCAAAACCATATTACTGTCAGCAAGAATACACAAAGCATTGGTGTTTCATCTAAGTTCAGATATTTTATAAGTATTATAAGTTCCATACTGGATCCTCACAAGTTGTGTATTTTTTTTTTCTTCAAGCAATCTCCCATAAAATGATTGAAAGGATATTCTCAGGAGCTGTTACCAGGTAAACGTTTTTATTTCTTGTTCTTTTTAAATAAGGAAGAAATATTTGTGCATGACTCCTGGATAGAAATGAGTACTTTGCCTCTAGTTATTAAAGAAGAATAGGGCTCTACAGTTATTAAATTGTCTGCCTGATGTGAAAGATGCCTTGGGTATTTTTGTGTTTTTTCCTGAACTAGTTTCTTTTGTAGGGGCAAAAGAGCACATAAGGAAGGAAGAATGAGCTATGCAGATTTTGTATGGTTTCTGATTTCTGAAGAGGACAAGAAGACACCAACCAGGTGACTTGGGAAAGCTGACTATTTTAGGTCAACCTTGCTCAAACCAGTGATTCAGCTTTTCGCTTTGCTGCACCAAGAGCGCTTGTAGTGATTATCTCTGGAAAGTGTAATGTCTCTTTTAAGTATTCTCTTCCCACTTCACAGTCATTTGCATAGACTTCCACTGAACTTATCCACTGCTTAAAGCTGTTGGAAGTGGAGGAATGATGCCTGCCTTCTCAAAACCAGATAAATCCAGCAGTGTGCACTTGATTCTAAGATAGCTGAGGGCAATGAAGTGACAACAAACTATTTAATCAGTAAAAGGGACTAGGGAAGTGTTTTCATTTATGCAGAGATGTTTGTTTTCCAGCATAGAGTACTGGTTCCGCTGCATGGATCTTGATGGGGACGGAGTGCTCTCTATGTATGAGCTGGAATACTTTTATGAGGAACAGTGTCAGAGACTAGAGAACATGGCCATTGAACCCCTGCCTTTTGAAGACTGTCTCTGCCAAATGCTGGACCTTGTCAAACCCAAAACTGAAGGTATGTAGCCTCAAGCTCAAAGGTTTTACTAGGTATCAAGTGAACAGAGTATCATGTGTAGTGATGTCAGAACCAGTGTTTAGACTTATCTGATCCTGCATGGCTGCTTGTTTTAAGAAACACGATGCATTCAAAATTCAAACATTAAGAAACACAAAAATACATTTTAGTAGCCACAGGTTATTTTTGTCTTTTGTTCTCTGTTTCTGAGAGAACAGCAGGGAAGGCTGTTTATTTAGGACTCTTGTCATCTCTTTTTCCTCTTCTTAGTGATGTGAAGAAACTGGATTTGTTACATTTGCTTGCGGTGTTTTTTGTAGCTAGTGTAACACTTGCTTAACAGGCTTTGAAAAAAATTCCATTATACAACTAAGAAATACATTATTGTAGAGACTAAAAATATTTTGTCAGTGTGAGAATAGGGAAAATTATATTTCTGGTAGTTACAACAAAAATCTTTTCATTCAGATCAGCAGCTGAACATATAATTGTTCTAGTGCTCATATAGGCAGCTTTGTCTAGTGTCATGTTCTTTGTGGTGTCTTCTGTGGTGCGAGTAACAAAATCATCATTGTAAATCAGTTAAATTATGCGAGGTGGAAATTGTCAGTTCTTTCTGCTCACATAGACACCCTTTCTGTTCTAGAAGCTACTGTAGAAACCCTACCAAATGTATGTCCAAACTCTTGTTCCTTCACAGGAAAGATCACTCTTCATGATCTGAAGAAGTGCAAGTTGTCACACCTGTTTTTTGATACTTTTTTCAATATCGAGAAGTACCTGGACCACGAGCAAAAGGATCCGTTTTCGGTTATCAGGGTAAGGTTGGCAAATCCGATTAAACATGATCCCATTGGAAAGCGGTCTTCCTAAAGCTCTGCGATAACCCCGTCTCTTGCGTCCTAGGATGGAGAGGGTGAGGTGCAGGATGTCTCCGACTGGGAGAAGTACGCTGCAGAGGAGTACGACAGCTTGGTAGCCGAGGAGGCAGCCAACGAGCAGTTTAATGACGGGTAAGATACTTAAAAGCGTTTAGAAGTTTGTCATACCGAGTGTAATTCCATCACCATACCCAGTTTCCCCCAGGAAGACTGTGCAATTACACTATAAAAATATTAGCACATAATCTTTTCACTAGAACAGTGTCAGAAAGTATCTGTGCTTTAAACCTTTAATTTTGTGTTAATGGAAGGTTGGCTTTTTCTGTTGCCTATAGCCACCGATAGCTCTCAAACCCTCTGGAATAGGAGAAAGTGGCAATAGGTGAGTTAGCCCTATTAACAGGCATCTAATGAACATTTTAGGGACTCCAGTAACTTTTAATGGCTGCATCACTGGAGTATTGAAACTGAAAGGTAAGAGTGAGCTACTCTGGTGTCCACTAAGGGTTTTGGCGCAGGTGCTCGCTAGCGTTTCTGTGATGACACTTTTCTGGGGTGGCTGAGGTTCTCAAGTCTGTCTTGTTCTCCTCGGCTGACTCTCTATCATTTCTGTTTAAAACTGGACTTCCTGACCCACACGTTCACAGTGGTCAATGATTGAAATCTAAATTTGCATGCACTGAAATACTGATCACAAAAGAGATAACCCTGAAGCCTTAGTTACACAGAAATATTTTATAGGTGAATAGAACTAAGTTGGAGTGCAAGAAATAGTATCATATCTGATATAAATGCAAAAAAGTCAGTTGAGAAGTTATGAACTGGATGAGCCATTTATATAGCAAAGTATATAGTGAAGCAGTCCAATGAAGTACTTCTTAAAGTACAACAGCAGCAGCAGCTCATGTGGGATTTGAGTTCTCCAGTCTGGGTTCCAGAGACTTAGCAGTACAGGCAACTGAGTATGCTGTACCTCTTATTACAATCCTAAGGATTTATTGATTTAGAGCAGTTTGCAGGAATTATTTCCATTCCATTTTTAAAGGAATAAAACTGGGATATTTCCATTTTGCTTTAAAAAAAATATATCCTCTTGAAAGGGAAATATGAGATCGAATTGAGTTTTTCTGTTTGAATGGTAAAACATCACTTGATTTTTGTTTGTCCTGTTAGATATGAACATGCCATTGATCCAATAGACTGTCAGATCTCACACGAGCTAAATCTACGAACAGACAAGAGACACTTCTTCCAAATACCGAGCCCGCACTCCAACCTAGACCTGGAGGAATACGAATATGAAGACGACTTTGAATGACAGCTGGTGCATACATGTCCTACATTGCTGGCTGTGTGCAGCTGTGCTGCAAAAACTGTATAAAGAATGAATGTTAATGAAGCCTATAAATGTTTCATAGATTAGGTTGTAGCTTTAGGTTATTCGCACTTAACCATGGGAACAGGAAACACAGACCTGGAGAAGCCAAAAGCTGTCACTCATCCATTAAGAATATTTTCATTTTTATACATTATCAGGAAATCTCTTTGCAGAAGTTAAAACAAAATCACACCTAAGAAATGCTGTTTATGATGTAGCAAGCTAAATATTAAATGTACACCTAAAGTTTTCTAGTAACACTTTATTATTAAAGATATTATACATATTTTGATTTATATGTTTATATATGGTTTATAAAGAAATTCTAAAGTATTCATAAAACATTGTCATTACAAAGATGTAATACTTTCCAATGGCTTCTCCATTTGACAAAGCACAACACCTACATAAGATCCCATTTTTAAATTTAAATAATGTAATGCTTTATTAATACTTCAGGACATTTTATCAATTTGTATAAATCATTAGTAAAATATTACAAGGAAAACCTTAATATAAAGCGTTGTCACTGTTCTTTCAGTAGTTTATTTATTTGGCTAATTGTGACTGGCCATTAGTTTTGAGTGTTGTGTTATTTGTAAATAAGAATGCTTCTAATATTTATTATGAAATCATTCGAGAGCGACTGGCACGTGCACAGAATATACCTGTGAACCAATTCAGTTTCTTGCTTGAAGAAATCTTAGTTCGCTGCACTGGAACTTAAAAAGCTTAGACACTGAAAAACACTTGAATTACTGAATGTGCACTAACTGTAAGAGCAATACATTTGTAATTTCTTAGGATTGGCTAATGCAACATTCCAGAGATATTAAACATACTACGAATTTCAAAATACGTTTTCTTATCCTGGTGCCTATAAACCTGCATTTTTACATCTATGCATTAGTCTTTATGAAATTCCCGTGCCTTGTAATATATACTGTATTTATCTGCAAGTTTCAAGTTATTTTTTTTTTACTGTTTAATACTTTTATTTTGACTTTGGAGAGGTTATAAATTATAAGCTGTAAATGTTATTTTGTGCTTGCTGTGTAAAAACAGGGTTTCTAAGTGTACACAAATTATGTTCCATTGTTGATGGCTATCTGTAAAAGTACTGGGGTCATTTCATAATGTACTTTTATTGAAGAATAAGAAACCAATTTTAAAATTTGTATATTATTTTGTTGAAATTATTTTAAATAAAGTATACCTCAGAATGTATTTTCTTGTTTTTCGGTTGTACCCATTTTACAAGCAAATTACATGCTGTAGATCATTCTTTTTTTTTTATTGAAGCAAGGCAGTGAAAATAATGGAAGACGTACAAAAGATCTGTTGTCTTAATGTACACTATCCAATTGAATGTTACACAATGCCATGGGTTTAAATCATCAGTATGCATTTCAAAAGAGTAGAAAACCTTTTTTCTGAGGTGGGTGCTACTTCAGTGAACACAAAACATCTAACAATAAGAAATAATGTAACTACTTACAAAAGGAGTTGCTGTGATGAAAAATGAGCTGTAAATTAGTTCTTACATTTATAACAGTCAAATTATAAAGGGGGGGGGGGGGGGGTCCAGAATTTATTCCAGGAACTTCCCAGAAAGAAGCCATAGCAATAAAAAAACACGCCCCACGCAAATGAAACAGTTCAAGGTCAAGAATTACCTGTGGAAATTGGCGTGTGCTTTTAGCAAAACAAAACTCTCGCCCCTACCCACTCAAGACAAACAAATGTAGACTCGACACCACACAAATGTTCTGTACCACCCCTGCTACCACTTGGCCCTCTTACAGCATTGTCAAAGTGCTCAAGAATGTATAGACAGGAACTCCTGCAACTACAAGGGGAAAATAGAATGTATAGACAAACCATGAACATTGAAAACACACCTTAACACTATTTATCTTATTGGTACTGACACAATATTTAAATTGCAGGTAACCTGAAACAGGCATATACTTGGGTGTCTTTTATTCTCCTCTGTCAAAAAGAAATTCTGTAATAAGTACTGCTAAAACTGTTTTGTGTCTAGGAATCCAGTGGCAAAAAATACTAAGGAAATTTTAGGAGCAAAGAAAGGGAAATGAGGTTTAGGTAGAATTTAAGAGTTTCCCTTTGTTCCTGACATACACCTAAATCTAAAACATAGGTGTAGGGAAAAAAAAAAAAATAAATGAAACCTGTTTACGAAAACAACTAGTTAAAATGCATTCAGTAATCAGTGATGCCCAATTCCTAGGCTGAAGGACCAGGGTTGGCCACTTTTCATTCCAGCTGAACAGTCGCCATCTCGATGAGACCCTTAACTGACAGTTTCTGAAGATACAGTATGAGCCACTTGCATACATATTTATATAGCCACACTATCATTCTCAAGCTCTTGAGGTCTGTTTTTCTGTCCTTCTGCATTCAAACAAGGGTAGCCTAGACATTGGCCTTACAGAAATAACTAATTCTGTACTGTTTAGGAAACTCTGAAAATGACACTGTTTCTTCTTTAGATGGATTTGCATGCTCCTGAACACCATATCTTTCTTTTAAAAGAAAATTTGAAGCACTCATCCTGGAGGGCAGTAGGAGTCAGAAAGAAACAAAAGATCTGATGAGCTTGCACTGCCATTGAACCATAAACACTGCTTGGGATAAATCTGAGTAAATTTGGTGGAAACACACCAGAAAAATAAATACCTGTCAGAAAACACCTAAGGAGGTTCATAGAAAGTGCTGTAATTTACAGTATTGATAATACAGTACCTCAATGCAGGAGGAATGAGGGCACTTCCACTAAAACAAGCACAAGCCACTGTTCTCCTTCGTGAAGCCACCTACCCCCTCCATCAACAAGTTTGTGAGAGGAACTGCAGAGCCCAGCAATCGCAGGGCTGCGCCGAAAGGCTCACGTTAGCTCAATATCAACCGAATCGACGTCCACATCCTCACTCGTAAGATCATGCTGGTCCCTGGACTTTAAAGCCGTGACTTGCAGCTGAGGGATCTTGGAAGTTCCTTCCATTTCTTTCTTGTCATCTTGGCTGGAGAAAAATAAGCCGCAGCTTTTATTCTAGAAAATAGGCTTAAATACTGTGCTAGAAGTTGAAAATGTAGCAATAAGAGTGGAAATCAATCTGAAATTGAACTCCATGGCAATTGCTAGTTGGTATAAAATTAGTTCCCACACTTTATTTTACTTTTCTATACCTGGCAAGAGTGTTTCTCACCTTTCACTAGATTTGAGAGGTTTTCTCCCTTTAATAACTGCAGCGGTCAGCTGTGGTGGAGCCTTTAGATCAGGGGTTTTGCAGGCGAGCCAGGAGTTGCTGTGCAAGTCTCCTGAAATTGTAAGAAAGCAGCAAAAATAAGTTACTTGACCACAAGTGTAACTAATGTTTTGCAACTCTATTTAAAAATATCATTGCTTTCTCAGGAAACTCCACCCGTGGATATAGGAAACAATAGGACACATTTCAATTCCAGTTTAATAACAAAGGAGTGAGTTTATCACATTGATTTCAGTGTTACATTGGTGTTGCTAATGAAAAGGTGGTCCTTGTATCAGCAGATCTCAAGTTTTTTAATTTTGTCATATTAGGCTGTTGTTCCTTTTTTTTAACAAGTGTGGTAAACATCCTGCATTCTGCGACACTGTTGTAAATCAGTTTCTTCACCAGGTAGCAGAGGAGAAAGAGAAGTAGCAGATTATAATTGCACAACAGAACAGCAAGTTCCTCTCTCTTTTCAGTTTTGTTTCAGTTTCAGCAGTGAAACACTAGAGTGATCAAAAGAAAAGGCACAAGAATCATCTTAGCCCATCAAATAGTAGTTAATTGATCCAGGTATCGTGAAGGAGTCAGAGTATGGGCTTCAGCAGCATGGCTGGGTTGCTTGTTCTATAACCCTTCAAGTAAAGAAGCACCTAGTGCACTTCCTGAGTTTGTTCCGAGGATGGCCGCTGGGTTGGCTCTATCAGTGCCCCTGGGAGTGAGCGTACCGTCAGAGGGAGCCTGCCTCAGCGATGGCGGCCTGGAGCAGACTGCTGTGGAGGGCTGCCTGAAGGTGTCTGTGCTGATGTAGGAGCAGGAGTCCTCTCCCTCGGTGGTGGCCAGCAGAGAGGCCCTGTAGTAAATCAGGGGGAGCCAGCAGTCCTCTCTGTTATTGACGGTCTGCTCGCCTGCATACCTCTGCAAGTAACTGTACCTGGGGGGGAAACGACAAATCACTTAAGGGCAAGATAAGTGTTTTCAAACTGAAGCTGGCCTTCAAGACAAACCCAACAATCCTGTGTCATCTGCTGTAGGGAAGGCTCCCGTTTTTAATGCTCCAAGCCTTGGAAATCCAGCTCCATGGAATGGAACTTACCACACTTGTCTGTGGTCATTTGTGCCACCGAAAGTAGTGTTTGTGCTGCTATTGTTCCCGAGATACAGCGCCTTCATTTTTTGAGGTGTGAGCTCCCCTTCAACGGTGACGAGGGTCCTCTGAGCCCCCCCAAAAAAGAAGGTGCAATATCTTGAATGAAAGCACCTCAGACACAACTCGGGCACAAACCAGCGCACACAAAGTGGTGAGCTCTGTTGCTTGTGCTGTTTGGAGGGGGAGTTCAGAAATGTCCCCCACACACAGACACAGACTGGCGACTCTTTATCTTTAAGTACTTCAAGTCCCCCCTTCCTCGTGTCAGAGAGGCTAGCAGACTTACACCGTTTTTTTATCAGGCTTCAGCAGCCGGCTGGAGAACTCGCTGAGGATGGTAAGGTATGAGATGTAGGGCGGAGTGTGCTTCTCCCCTCCCTGCACGAATCCCCCGAAGACGAACTCTATACCATCCCTGCGAACAAAAGGGCAAACTCAAACTGAGCAGGAGCATATTATACAGACAACCTGTGGGGTTTGCACAGCCATTAAGACCCTTCCCACATGAGGCCTTTAAATCATTCCCCCCAACTCTTACGAAAACAAACCTGATATCAGGCCTCAGCCGCTATCAGAACAATGCACTATAAATCAACAGAACTCCAAATAAAGCAATGGAGCCCAGAAACAGTACGCGCCATTTGCAAGACAGCTGCATAAAAGCTCACACCCCCCTAAGACGGTTCTGAAATGATCTGTTTTGGGGGCTTTTCTTGATCCGGACTGGGCTGGCTGAAGCCTTTGGCCGTTTGAAAACAATATATTGGAAAATCCTAAAACTTTTCATTTTGTGAGCATATAGAGCAGCACGAGAAACAGTGACACGGAGATTAGGTTTTCTAGCTCATGACAACTCAGCCGCATTGTACCAGCTTGAAAATCGCACCAAAATCCTTTTAATCCACAGGTCCCCTTCACATCCCGGCATGGTGAATAACAGCAGGGACAATCCCCAGCTGTTCAGACAGAAATTAAAATATGTATATTTTTATGGGGTAAATGAAAAGGCCAAAATCACACAAAGATATTTTTGGGACAAAGATTAGCTGCGAAACACATTTTCCAAAACCACCCCATGCCATCTCCCAAGAGCTTGCCTGTGGATCAGGGCCAGAGATTCCCTGGATTTGATCTGGTCCCATCCAAAAGTCAGGGAGAAGCGCCGGGCCAGTTCCTTGATGCTGCTGAATGTCTGAATGGACGAACTGCACACAGTGCCGCTCTCCTGCTCCTGCTTTAGCCTGAGGAACAGCTGCAGAAAGCACAAACGGCTTCTTTAAAAACTGAACGGTCCCAGCGGCAGACATTTACATAGAGAAAATTCACATTAAAACTAAACGTCTTATTTGGCAGTTGCTAGCTGCAGAAATTTTAATTCAATGAAACACTTTGTATCACTAAAAACATTATTCACACTTTTCAATCGAAACGTACACCCAAACCTTCCCCAGTTTCTGTTTAACTTCCAGATGTATTGATCAATGTTTTTAAACAATTTCACTTTAACCTTTCTGTTTGTCAGCGGTCTTCAATATACAAACTTTATTCAGCCTCAGGGACTCCATTCTTTGTACAGAACACTACCACCCTGGGTGCGACCCGGGTTTATCGAGCTACGCATCAGAGAATCACAAAAGAACCCTTCCAAGACAAAGCCTTTCAGCACAGACCCTTTACCAATCACTCGAGCAGCTGTGGCTATTACCTGCGATTGGGTTAATTTTTTAATTCACAAGAGCAGTCAATGGTTGAAGCCAATAATGAGTTAAACCATCGAGTGGTTCAACACAACAGAGCGGAGCATGATGGGAGGCCCACCAGAAGGAGGGTTCACAAGGACAAGAGGGCTCGGGGAAAAAAGAGAACTTAAAAATGAAGATTAAAAAGCAGGCGCTGAAGATAATGCTTCAATACCGCGGAGGTCTGGAAGTGTTTCAGCTCTCTTTCTCATGGCCAGCAGAGAGAACTAGTAAAGAGCTGTAGTAATGGAATGTTCCATCAGATGCTGAGAGCTGTGACATCTCAATGATCTAGTGAAGTGATGACAGCCTGCAAGGCTCGCTGGGAGATCAGGGGTAGGGCCCTGAAACATTTGGCACACATCTTCACAGAGCCAGACAATGGGAGAGGCTTAGCAGATGTCAGATATGTGTCTATGGGCAGGTCCTGCCCTTGTATTCTACATACCTGCTGCAGGCAGAGGACAAGGGTCCTTGCACTCTCAATCTTGTCCATCTGCCTGGTCCTGCTCAGAGTCTCCTTAATGATGTCTCCAAAGTCATTGTAATACTACAGAAAGACCAGACAGACACTGATGATGATGATAATAAAAAACATAATCACAAGCTTATTCTTCGTGCATCTACATACATTCGTTCAGCATTTTAAAAGATTGGGAGAGGTCCAGAACGATAAACAGCCTGTTTTTGTTCAAATTAAAAAATGAAAACCACAAGAACAATAATTCTAGAGAGCCCCCCAGGCTTCCTAGATCTAGATTTTATCTAGATTTCTGAGAGGGAAATGTAGAGGATATTTTGGATAAAAGCAAAGATTAGAAAATCATTTTGCCTCTTGGATCTGAGCTCCAGCTGCTTGCTAACATGTACAGACCAAGCAGAGGTTTGCTGGAAAGACAGTATAATGGCAATACATCTGCAGTGAACAATTACAATCACAATCAAGCTAAAAACACAGCCAGCACAGAGATGAAGATGGAGATCATTGGCTGGCCTTTTCCTAATAACGGCTGGGGTCTTTTTTTAAAAAAACACTAGAATTGCCTTTTCTGGGGCTAAAGTCACCCCATTTAGAAAAGCCATTTGTGTTTATCACTTCTAGGTTCACAGTTACAAAATTAACACAGGAGAAGATCAGGAAGTGAAAACAGACTCCTCCCCCTTATATGAACTATATATACAGTAATATATAATAACCTGGCAATATAAACTATAATAATTCCTTTCAACATTTCTGCTACAAAGTCAGGACCATGAAATTTAACATGATCTTGCCTCTAGTATTAACAAAGATAAGTTGACTCTTAAAAGTAAAAAACACAAATTAATTCAGATTAATTCTAAGGTTACTGGTAAAAACTCCCCCCTCTCTATTTTAACAAAGCAGAACTCAATGCTATGAAATTAATTCAAACATCACAGAGGAAATACAGCAAGAAGGAGTCCGTTAGGCGCATGCTGGATGCTGCCACATGCTTCAGTGCCAAGGTCACACAACCTGCTGGACAAATTTCCTCAGCACAGTGGAGAAGACGTTCGTCCGATTATGATTACGTTTTATGTAACAGGTCAGAAGGATTTACAGTGCAAGCCACCAGTTTCAACTGGATTGGGCAGGAAAAAAAACCTGCTTAATCAGAAAAAGCACATCTGATTTAAATCAGATAGCCACAGCACACGTCAGAATCAAGAAATGTTTTATCGAAAGCCCTGATAAAACAGCAGTCACAGCAAATCCTCTTGTCCCAGCTGTTCAGTCAGCCCTTGGAAGACAGCTGCAGTTAAGATCTAAGCGCCTTTTCCTCTGATGGTTTTTGCACCTCAAGGTCAGGGTTGATCTGCGTAGTAATAGCCATGGAGCCCAGGTGGAGTTATTTTGCTCCCCAGCCTGTCAATGCTCCCCTGCTCCCTCTCTTTCTGAACAACTACAGACCTTAAGGAGTCACTGCCCAGAATGCCCAGCACACGGGCGGCTCTTTCTGAATACAGAAAACAAAGTTCCCTTTTGTAGAATGGAGGTTCAGTCACAAATTCGTTTTCTTTCAATACTGCTGAAAGTCAGTTGACTTGTTAATGCCGGTCACATGTAGGAAATGTATCTGACCAGCAATCATAATAACAAGCTTTGTTGGTCCCCAAACATATTTTTACAGTGCAATACCATGAGCATTTTTTTTTTCCCCCTAGCAAATGAATGTACAATGCTGGAAAATAAAAAAAAACAAAGTCATATAGAGAGAAACAGGCAAAATAAATCAGAGTTATGAGTTTTGTACAATTTTCCCTAACATTTATAATACCCTGGGCATTATGTCTTCTGTAAACTGGACTGCTCAAATGTGAACAAGTACATACAGTACATACCCCTGGCACATTAATATGAGCTCTGAACAAACACTGCTTTTCTGTGTGCTGCCCTAAACCATTTAAAAATGAAAATAAGAAGGGTTACAAATGAGAGGAGGCCATTATGGCCAACTCCCCCACTTGGTAGTTAATTCAGCCCTTACTTAAACAGCTGAGGAGAAATTCTCACCCACAGTACAACGATGACCTGTGCACGGCAATGCCTCTGCGAGATGAAGCACTTTTCCCAGGGTACAAAAGCAGCTGCCCACCCAGTATGTGGGCACAGAACCTTCTGCTCAAAGGTCATTAACCACTGCCTGCAACACCACCCTGCCCCTTCGGGTACAGACACACTTGCAGCATCTCCAAGGCTGTATATTATAGCAAGGATTTGTTTCACATAGTTTTTTTTCCTGAAAACATTCCCCTTAATTATCCGATACAAACCCTTTAGCCACACTTCCTGTAATGCTGCCCAATTTCAGTCCTAAAGGGCTGCTGTCCAGCAGGTTTTATAGGCCTCTACATTTCCCAACTTCTTGAGAAAAAGGTATTACTTCTCCCCCAAGTGCAATGAATTAATTTCAACTAGTTTCTGAAGGGCTCAGGTGGAAAGGAACCCACAGCCACTCTGTGCCTAAACGATATGAACAGACATGTCACTACTCTGCGGCTCCATCTCTCTGCGCCGCTGTCGTTCCTCCCTGCTGCCGCCGCGCTGTGGCAGGGAGGGGGTTACCTTCATGTACTGCTGGAATATCTCCGCCGCCGCGCTCATCTCCAGCACGCTGTGCACGATCAGTTTGCAGTAGGCGGCCAGCAGGCCCCTCCTCCTGTGCAGCTCATCCAGTTTACCGACTCCTGCCTCGCTCTCGCTGGCTGTGAAGGGGGGTGGGAAGAGTACGAAAGAAACGCTCACATTTTGCAGCACAGAATCTGTAATACGGTTTCGTTATTACACCCAACTGCCTTAACCTCACATCAGGAGATAATGCAATAACTTTTTGAAGTTGAAGATGAGTTGAAGTTAATAATGTTTTTCATAAAGTCTATAGCCCTAAACACTTAGATTTTTTTTAATGACTGCATTTCCCCTGTCACCCCTACACAGCCAAGTTGTAACGTCTCCAAAATTAATAAACGGTTACCTTGTTCCCGCAAAAATCTGAAAATTGTACAATCTGTGGATTGTAGTTTTATTACTCTTTCACACCGGTGGTACAATACCACATTTAATTCCTTTTCTTAAAACACCTGAAAAGCCCTGCAGAACAGATATACGCTGTATGGATGGCCTAGTGGTAGAATTAGACGCACACAGATGAAAAGCACACCGAATGTCTGGCCTCATCATTTATGTCGCGCTGCTAATTGTTGTGCTGTAACCGCAGCTCATCAGCATGCACAAGATCCCTGCAGTGGACACACTGTAAACAGCAGTGCACCACAAAATATACACTGGGTAAAATGAGTCATGCAGCTTTCCTCAAAAACCTCAATGTGCAAACAGATTGTCAGGCACTCAAAAAGGCACACAGTGCATTGAGTTCACACTCAGCAGAATGCACAGTTACTCCACAGCGAGCTCATCTAGGCAAACCCATCCAATTTACAAACTGGATTACAAAGTGGATTCCTCCAATCTACAGACCTCTGCACTATAGCAGCCCTAATCCAGATTTGGCAAAGTGGCAGTTAAGATCCTCTATTTCGCGTCACTGTCCAGCAGAGTTCAACAAAACACTTTGCCTGTCCCACACCTACCCAGTCCTACACTGCCAACCCCCCTGGGATGTCTATTCCCTATTTCATTACGAATCCTCACATACTGGAGCATCACAGCACCTTGCCCATATTGATCAGTTTGTCATAATAAGATTTCAAGCCCATGAGTGCTTTATCTAAAGTGATGGATACCTCCACATGACAAAATGTTGAAATATAATGTTTTTAACAGCTAAGGGCTTCCTTAGATCAATATGCTGTCAGAGGGATGGAGACTACCCCATGGTGGAAGACTGACGACTCCCTCTAAAAATTATAGGAAATAAAATGCCAAATGATATGGCTGCAATGCAGGTTACATTGTGAGTTGAAGATGAAGGCTAAACTTTATCTGCAAACATTTACTTTAATTCCCCCATGCTGTCTCACAGTTTGCACTATGTTTTACCATAGCTGAGAGTACTTGGCTGTGCTTCTTATGCAACCTCTAACTTTGTGTAACATCATGATGAGACTTTTATCAAAGAAGGCTTTCCTGATTATCAGTGTTTAGGCCAGATTAAAAAAGTAACCTACAGTACCTACAAAGAAGAGGTCCTTTAGAAGTACTGATCAATGAAAGAACAAATGCAATGTGCTCAAACAGTACACAGGGCCATAGATGGCTTGAGTACAAATTGTTGTTATATTTAAAACTGAAAACAGGAGCAACTTCTGGGGTTTGAAACAAACTACCCACCCCAGCTGATAAAGCCAATACTGGTTGAAGAAATGGCTGGATGTGATCCTGAGATCAATTATCTACTACAACTAACCACCAAACCAGCTGGATGAGCTGAATGCCCTCCTGTTGTTTGTATCCGTCCTTATGAATCATTAGATTTAACTCGCTGGTGCCTGCACCTCTGTCGCCGGGCCAAATGCTTGATACTCCTCTGCACCATCCTCCAACCTGGCTTCTCCTGCTTTCTGCCCAGACAGCAAAATCGACTCAGTTGAAAGCTGCGTCAGATTTTATTTTCATCTCTCTCCTATACCCACTAATTCAGAATAATAAAGAGGATCGTTATTATTCTTTGGGGTGGTTCGATGACCCCTGTTGTTTCCACACAGGCGGACAATAATTCAGTGCCACGCAGGAACCTGGTACCAGCTGAAGGACAGGTGCAGCACATCATTCAGCTGCAGGTGCCTGCCAGGTGAACCACCTGCACACTTCTGCTTGGGAATCACAGGCACATCTGGACCTCTGGACACATGTTGCCCTGCTAGACTTTAACAAGCAGCCTCAGAATTCTAGAACTGTGGCAAAATACCAACCAGACAGAAAGCAGACAGAAACACGCCCACATCTGAGAGCTTGGCCTAACGCACTGGGCACGGTTTGCAGTGGACAGCCTCTCATAATATGATACTGACATCATGGGCACAGATATTATTTCAAAATCTTTTTAGCTGTCACTTTATTCCAAAAAAAGCTTTACACATGCACCCATCTATGCAGCTGGGAATTTTACTGAAGCGATCTAGGTAGTCACTTGTTCACAATACAACAGCAGGACCCCACAACTGTCCTCTTACACGTCCAAAGTCTTCACCACAGCTCCCAGTGGTTGCCTCTCCGCTGTACAATGGAATATATCCATTATTTAAGGAAGGCTTTCATTTATACAGCAGGAAGAGAAAAGGATTGCTTATCTGCACGCTCATCAGAAATCCATGAAAGTCACTGCTTGAGAAACCCCAGCTGTATGGTTCAGTGTAAAGGCCCCGATTTGAATGGTGTCTAACTGGAAACCCCATTCACACTTTAAGACTGCCATCTGCTGGCTGTCATTGTTTACAGTATCTGAAATATAAAAGGGCTGAGAGCTACTCTGTACTTGAAGGTACTCTAAGAAATCACACAGGAACATACATGTGTTCTAATTACTTTCTGAGCATGCTATTTATGATGGTATCCTGTTTATCATCATTCTGTACTTAAATTATAACATGCTCACTTTAAACACATTCAAATTTCAATAATATTTAACAGAAGACAAAACACATTCACCAGCAAGAAACTAAAGGTATCACTGAAGCCACTAATTATGTGGCACCCTGAAATCAAACTTTTAGGTATAAAATCTAATGGTAGATGGCAAAGTAAAAGAACTTTCACCATGTGCTTTGTAATACAGCAGTGCCCTTCACTAAATCTATGCTACACTAGTTCTTCATTATGGTGGCCTGTCAAAGGTACAGTAACTTTCTCTTGGTACAGTGAAACTATGTATGGTATTCACATTATAGTTTACACTCAGGAGTTACACCTATTCACAGATTAAGTTAGCTACTGCAGTGTTTTTGAGAAGTTCCATTTAAACTCTAGCACTGTATTGTCTACTACTCCGATGGGTGCCTGAAGAGTTCCTCACTTCCATTCGGCGCACGTCTCCTTTTCTAATGCGAGATCTGTACATGTCGTCAAAGCACGCGTTCCTCCTGTTCCGTCCCCCCTTGCCTGAAGTACAGGATGAAAGAGTGTCCGAGCCCACTAGGCATCTTCAGGAAGGCTCACCTCTGCTCTGGCTGTCCTGCTCCAGGCCGGTGAACACACGCTCTTGTATGAAGGACAGCAGTGCCTTCTGGAGCTTGGGGTCAGGGGTGTAGAGAAGGGGGCTGACAGCCCCTTGTTCCACAGAGTGAAGCTGATAGCTGTGAGCCGTCAGAACATCGCAGAGGGACAGGAAGGCCTGAGGAGAGGTCAAACCAGATGCAATCAATAAAGCAATCTCTCATAAAGCAATTAAATACGGCAATGATAACTTCAGATCAGACGTGTGTCCAGCGGTTTAAATCCGTGGCAAATGGATGCTTCTGCCGGGAACGGTGCAAAAGACACCCAGAAAAGGCAGCTCAAATTCCCAGTTCTACAAACTTTTCCAAATGTCAGAAATGTCAGGTCTTTTCAAATGTGTGTTAATCTTAGGTATTCAGCAAAGTAATCCACGAAATGTTTGTACACACCCGAACAGAGTCACATTTTTTGCAGAAAGACACCAGCTTATAAGGGACAAAAACATGACTGGATGCCCGTTATTTCAATAATTCCTTATACTAAAGGCTTGTTATGCTTGTCCATCTTCTGAATTACATAGTTTATTATTCAAGTTCACATTTAACAGGCTATGATTCATTTCCTAGATAAACCCAGAACACACAGATCCATGTTCATGAAGTGTTTTTCACCACATCATAGTAACAGACCAGTACGAAAATAGCAATCTGAAGCTGTATCAATGTCATATCAATCAGTGCAGGGAGGTCAATCACTGCAAAAGTCTCTGAAGGCAGTTCAGATGTTCAGGTTTGATTTTGTAACTCAAGAAATGAATCACCCATATACTGTGATGGAACATGCCTTATGAGACATACAGTAGACCATAATTTGGTTCAGTTTGGATTGCCTCAGCAATAAAGTCAATACCCCAGTATTGTAAAAACAGTGCTGCATGGGAAAACAACAAGTATTTGTAAGAAAACTCTAGCTTTTTAACTTATTCCAAAGAGCAAAACATTATAATTACAACTAAATGTTTTTAGAAACATGTATGTTCTGTACAAAGTTAGCTCTCTCAAACTCTTAGACCTCAGTGCAACACAAGATATATTTGTTCAACAGAAACAGTACGAATACAATAAGAAAAGGGACACAAGACAGTCCACAATTTCTCTGCAGGAAATTAAATTTAGAAAGGAAATGGGCACTCACTAGCTTTGATACGTCTCTAAGAAAATGAAAACCCTTTAACATTTTGGAATTGTTCCTTCTTTGCTCAGTGATAAAAATCCAACTAAAATACCATGCACTAACCAACCTGTTCCTTTACAGCAGGGTGAGCGTGGGACAGGCAGCGATGACATTTCTCACAAAAATTTCGTAACTGACTTCTTTGGGCAAGCGCACTCTCCTTCAAGCAAGAACACACAAATGGTTTAAAATTGGAATTGTTACAAGCACTCACATCACAAACTGAGCATTGAAAGAGACTTATCACTCTATGCCAGCGTTTTCAGAAACATGAAGTATATAGAATCTGGATAAAGTACACAGAATATGTTTTTGGCGTCACTTTGATCAAATTACCATTCACGACTGACAGTAACATGCTTGAGTGACTTTATATGTTTATAGGTTTCTGTTGGTTTTCTCCAGCTTTTGGTTTATCACAAGTGGTTTATCATCACATACAGTAAGCTGATGGAAATCAAGTATACAACTGAGGTAAGTGAGGTCTGTGTTAAGACCTTACATATCTTGACTGTCCTACTTCATACTGGCGAGTTTCAAACTGAGAGAAACTCATCTCGGGCCAGAGGTGGGACGGAGTTCTGTCTGGAGCAAAAAGGTCGTTCTGAAGGAAACTGCCGTCAGACAAATTCTGTGCAGTAAGTTATGTATTTATGAACATAATGATAAACAAAATAAAGTGGATTAGTGTTAAATAAATAGAAATTAAATCCATACAGCTGGCATAACTGTGTTTTTAATCTTAAAAAAAACATCAAAGCCTGGCCAATTTAATGCAAACTTAAAAACCAGTAGCTTTATTTGTTTCATAAAGAACCATTTAGGTCTTCACTGATATTCTTCATAATGTAAATTTCTTTTCAAATTATGATATAAAATTTTGCTGGGGACGCAGAACTTCCTGCAATTTTAGGTATTCCAATAATTGTGCGACCCCATCCTCTAATTTCATCAACATGACTCATTTTAATCCCTGTTTTCTGCTGAATGTTTCTTTTCATTTGAAATCGCCTTACCACTAAAGTCAAATGCCAGTGGAATTAGAATTGCAGATTACAACATATTCATTGCTGCTGACTGAAATTACTGTCCATATTGTCAATTATTGATGAAAAAGTCCCAGACACAAACTGCCATCCACTCTCTTCTCTTGCATAAAAATTAAATGCTTTTTTGTAGCGTTCATAATAGCCATCAATATTTGATTTAAGATACGTCAAAAGGTCAATGAACATACAGAAAAATACCATTAGGTTCTTCCAGAGACTCAGATTTAATAATAAGAACAGCATATTAAGATGTTCAGTGCATGGCTATCCAAATGCTAGTTATTTATAAAATTCAATCTATAACTTTCAGAGTACTTCCCTTAATTTTTTCAAATTCATTTTTGCTCCAGTATTTGTTTTTTCTTATTAAAGGCCTAGAGGTCACTGGGACTAAATGAAAGATCTGATCTTTGAACTTACTTATTTTTTTGTTTGCAGGCACTGTTGTTTCAGTAAAAGTTGGAATTTAAAAATTCCATCCTCTGCAAAGCACACTTAAGGCTTTTGTTTGGTTTTAATTCTAACCTGAGAAATCAACTAAACAATTAACCTTGTTATTTTCCAAATTAGACATAGATACGATTGTTCTTAACATACGTTACAGTTGAATATAAAAGAAATTGATTTCCGTAAAGTTTTAGTGTTACAATTATGCACCTTTTTAAATAACCAGATCATGGTTGTGACTGAAAAAATGAGTGGAACGAGAAATGCTAGACCCTTGAGCAACTTAATGCGACCCTACTGGTCTAAAGAGAGGAGTTTTGATTAAATACCGAAAGGTAGACAGTAACACAGCAGGTCTTGAAACTGAATTGATAATAGGTTTGATTGGAACCTTTGCCAATTAAGGATTCAATGGAGGAAGGAGTTCAAGGATGGAATAAAACCGTCTGGTAAGGTGTACGCAGGACAAGAGGGACCCCAGCGAATGCCCGGGGTTAGCAGACCGAAGGCAACACATGATTTAAATGCACTTCGGACTGGAGTATGAAGACTATAAAGACTTTCACGATTACGTACCCTGGAAGACACACCTCCACAGCTTGTGTTCAGCTGCCAGAGAACAGCGTAGCACGCACACTGTAAAGCATGGACAATTACCTGTTGAAAAGTACATACATAGTTACAATCATCCGTGCACTTGACACTAAAGCACATGCACAGTACTGTAGGTAGGATAATAGCTACTGCTTGTGCACCTCATGAGGGACTCCTTGCTGGACCTCAGCAGTAAGTAGTCTTGAAATGGTGTCATACACTCTCCACTTTGACAGGTCATGAGCACTGCCATTTAGAAAACAAAACAAAAAAAAACACTGAAATGGTGCCAAATTGCAATCGATCAGTTATACGACTTTCTAGATCAGAGAATGCTTTTATGTAAAGACAGATGTCTTACATCAGCTGTAATCTCTGAGAAAAAGCCAACTTTCTGCGTTACATCTAGCTTGCTTGTCAGGTAAAATTCAAATATGTTTGCAAAAACAGAAACAAGTTTTCAGCCTATTTAACAGATTCACACAAGTGTTGCTAAATGTGGATTATTTTTGCCAGGACAAAAGATGTTTTCATCAGTAATGGAAATTTTAGAAAATGAGAATTTTTCATTTCTTATCATTCACATGGACTCATCTAACAAATGAAATACATTTTATGTTACGTATGTAAATGTCAGGTTGTCCTTCACAGCTAGCTTGTAGACCACCGATGAGAAACAAAGAATTCGGTGCAACAGGGCTAACATATCTGTGCTTCCCTGCCAAACCATCATGCTTGTGGGGAGGCACACGCTAAGGTAGAGAAAGTCATACTTGTGAAAAGCCGTGACTCTCTTGAGCAAAAATAAAATCTTGTTTGCTCTTTCTTCATCTACAGCTGGGGTCCCACCCTGGAAGAAAGAGAAGATTAGAAAATCACTTTCTTTTGCTTAGGTTTTCCCTCAAAGACCCTGCAAACAGTTAAGGACTAATATACAATAACGATGGACTTTCCCATGCATCAGTGCTCAGGTTTCATCCATGCCCTTTTTTAAAAACATAAGTGTGACATTCTACAAACTACTGTGCCAAGATCCATAATAGAGAGAGGACTTTTGAAAGGCATGTTTTTAATGTCTTTTTATATTTTCTATGTCAAAACATGAAGTATTTTAAAAGATAATGGACTATTTCCAGGACAATACTAGAGATCCGAAGAAGATGCCTCATAAAGGCATCACTACATATACGTTAGAGTTTCGACAGCTGCAAATTTAAAATTCACGCATATGCTTATTTGTGATCCATCTGGCTGATGAGGTGTTGGATGGAAGAAGAGCAGAGAGGGATGAAACCGAGCGGTAGGTTGTTAAGCACACCCCACTTTCAAATTAGTTGCACAACAGATGAGAATTGAGTGAGCTTTATGTTGTTTATTTTAGCTTATTACTATAAGAGTAACTAGGCTCAGGCTATGCAGACTGAACACCTTATGTTGAATTCACAGAAGCTTATCACACTAACAATAATGAGAAAACTACCAAGGAGCACAAAATAAACAGAGAAAAGGAATGAGACAGTGATATAGAGAACAGGATACACTTGACTGGGTTCCAGAGATATCTATAGCATGAATAGTAAAAACCACTGTTAGAATGAATCGCTTTTTGTGTCTTACCGTATGTGATACAAAATGGTGTACGTAAGCAGCTGCGTCTGCTTTAGAATTTGTGTTGAGACAGTGGACTCTGGTGAACTCCCTCTTTCAAGGCTCTGATTTTTGGTTTGGACCAGTAAACACCTAACACTTGTTTATTTTAGCTGATTTATTTATTTTATTTTATTTTAGTCTTTAATTTTAACTAACTTAAAGCCAATGCATTATTACCTTAACTGTCATATAAGGGAGGGTTACTTATGTCTTTTAAACACACACACATATACAGTGCCCTCCAGAATTATTGACAAGCAAAAAAGGCTATGAGAAAATGTCTTTGTTGTTTATCAGCTTGATCTTACACTGAAAACAAACATTTTTCTCAAAAACACGTCACAATTATTGGCACCCTTAGAAATTCCTATGAACGAAATCGAATTGACATACATTCCCATTCATATTTCACATTTTTTAAAGCACACCTGAGTCTTTAGGAACTCTTAAGTGGTCATCCATGACTTCCTGTTTCACTGGGGTATAAATATGAGGTAACATGCAGGCCAAACACCCTAAGTCATCCATCAACATGGAGAAGATCAGAGAAAACAAAAATGAAATGAAGCAAAAGGTTGTTGGCCTTCATAAATCAGGCAATGGCTATAAAAAATAGCTTCACACCTGAAAATACCCATCTCCACTATTAGGGCAATAATTAAGAGGTTTCAAACAACTGGAACTCTGATGAACCTGCCTGGAAGAGGACGCAAGTGTATTTTCCCCCACTCACAGTGAGGAAGATGGTTTGAGAGGCAAAACTTTCTCCAAGGATCACAGTTGGACAATTGCAGGAGTTGGTTGCATCCTGGGGTCACCAAGTCTCCAAAACTACAATTAATGCCACCTTCATGCCAACAAACTATTTGGAAGGCCTGCCAGAAGAAAGCCTCTGCTGTTGTCAAACCACAAATGTAAGCGCCTGGAGTTCACTAAACATCACTGGAACTTTGATTGGAACCAGGTTCTATGGTCAGATGAGACAAAAATAGAGCTTTTTGGCAACAAACACCAGAGGTGGGTCTGGCATCAAAAGAGTCAAGGTAATGCAGAAAAGAACCTTATCCCCACTGTGAAGTATGGTGGTGGATCTGTGATGTTGCGGAGCTGTTTATGTACCAAAAGCCCTGGGAATCTTGTCAGGATACATGGCATCATGGACTCCATCAAATACCAAGAGATTTTAGATCAAAATCTGGATGCATCTGACAGGAGGCTAAGACTGGGTCATGGTTGGATCTTCCAGCAGGACAATGATTCTCCAAATGGTTCACTGACCACAGAATCAAGCTTTTGCAGTTGCCATTCCAGTCCCCTGACCTAAGCCCCTTTGAAAACCTGGTGGGTGAGCTGAAGAGGAGAGTCCGCAAGCAAGGACCAAGGACTCTGAATGATCTGGAGAGATCTTGTATGGAGGAATGGTCTCAGGTCCCTTTATATGTGTTCTCCTACCTCATCCAGCATTATAAGAGAAGACTCAGTGCTGTTATCTTGGGCGGATCTGTGGCTGTGGCTGGAAGGTTGCCGGTTCAAATCCCGCGGTCGGCAGAGGAATCCTACTCTGTTGGGCCCCTGAGCAAGGCCCTTAACCCCACCTGCTCCAGGGATGCTGTACAATGGCTGACCCTGCGCTCTGACCCCAAGCTTCTCTCATTGTCTTTCACTGTCTCTCAGCATACCCCAGCATGCTCTCAAAAGCAAGCTGGGGTATGCAAAAAAGACAAATTCCTAATGCAAGAAATTGTATATGGACAATAAAGTGATCTGATCTGATCTTGGCAAAGGGAGGGTGCACAAAGTACTTAATGCAGGGGTGCCAATAATTGTTTATTTAATTATAAAATGTTTAATTTTTTTATAAGGATTTTTTTTCTTTGAATAATTTTAACCTCACTGAAAGGTTAAATTTCTCTCGTATTTCCAGTTTAAGATCAAGCTGATAAACGACAAAGATATTTTTTCCTAGCCATTTTTGCCCATCTTTACCAAGGGTGCCAATAATTCTGGACGACACTGCATACTGTAGTACACCATGCAATGATATAGGGGTGGACGTGGTTATATGGAAAGCTGGTTAGTCGAGACAGTTGTCTGCAACGAACACTCACAAATATTGAGCCCCTACCGCAACGCAGACTAACAGATATACAAATGCCAGTCACAGAGAGAATTGACTGAAAGTCAAATACTTTACAAGTCAAAATACTGCAGAGAGACAGTTAGGTATATTACTGAGCATGAAAATAATCCAAAATGAAAACCGCTATTAAAAACCTGAACACCGTTACCCCCTCCTGTAGGTCTCGCAGCAGCTGGTTGAGGTCATCCACCCACTGGTCCACGAGCTGGTCCCTGGAACTGATGGCGAGGTGGCGAGCAGCCGCGTCCTCGCAGCAGAGGGTCTGGAATGTCCGGGAGCAGGCCTCCAGAGCCCCCGAGTCCGCCGGCCGCCCCAGGACACCGCTCATCTCCCTCAGCAGGGCTGGCAGGTACTGCAACACAAGCACCCGGCCCTGGCACGATTACTCGGGAGGAGACTGTGAGGATGGGCGCCTAGTGGCACAGCGGTTAGCCTTGCTGCCTCGCAGCACTGAGGCCCCGAGTTTAATGCCAGACCATATCTGGGCGGAGTTCAGACGTTCTCCCCATGTTTGTGTGGATTTCCTCTGGGTGCACCAGTTTCCTCCCACAGTCTAAAAACATGCTGATAAGATATTTGGCTTGTGAAATAACTGGCCCTGGTGTGAGTGTGTGTCTGTGTGTGCCCTGTGATGGACTGGCGTCCCGTCCAGGGTGTATCCTGCCTTGTGCCCTTTGCTTGCTGGGACAGACTCCGGCTCTCCTGTCACCCTGTATTGGATAAAGCAGTTAGAAAACTGATGGATGGCTGATTGTGGGGAAGAAAAAATGTCTTACTGGTCTCATTCTGAAATGATTCAGCTGTAGGTTTAAGCATTTAGGACACTCCTGTGAGCTCTTAATAACTCTCCGGGTTCCTATGAATTTTACATTCTTAATCGAGGTGTTCCAGAATTAGATTCTGTCCTCATGGCTCTGGCCTTGAAACCACTCAAGAACAAAGAAGACACTTGCGACTTCACCAAAAAAATTGTATTGCTCACATCATGCATGACTAAAGAGTAGCTTTGCCCCTGGTAGGAACACTGTGCAGCCTCTACAATGCCTTTGTCCGTCCTTGCCTGCCTTCTCCGAAATTCTCATTATGAGAGGTTTTCTATGTTGAGGGTACCTCAGCTCGGGATTACTGATTTCAACAAGAACAAATTAATTTCAGTCACTGCAATGACCTGAACGGACAAGGCTGCCATTAAAATTGACTAAATAAGGATAAGACCGAGGGATGTTCACAGCAAGAGGAGACTGAAAAGGAAGCCTACCTTTTCAAAATGTTCAGAACTGCAGGCATCCACCTGGAAATACTGAGGTATTTTAAGGAAGCATGTCACCTTTTCCATCTGATCTGCATACTGTGAAAATAAGGCAAATGGAATTAACAGATGCACGATCACAACCAAGCTATGCAGACAACATCAAAGTGATGGCAGTGAGGGATTCATCAAAGGGAAGGCTCAGTACCTTAGCTAAAAGTGCAGGAAGTACCACAATGAAATGCTCAGTGAGTCTAATGCAGTCATCCATCTGGCTCTTCCTTTCTTTAGCAGTGATAACCTGGGACAAACGCAGCCATAGTGAAACATAACTGAATATAATTTCTGTAGGCTTGTGCCTTTCCTGCCATACCCACACAAAAAGGGAAGAAAAGACAAGTCTTTTTAAGACTCCATATAAAAGAAATTGCCTGTATAACAGGAGGTAAAGAACTCATTGAGATACAAGGAAAGAAAAGTGTATCTTGCTGAGATACAAGAAAAGTGTTACTTTCCTTAAGCTATTCGGCTTATTATACAAAACCTATGAGTGAGTGTTAAAG